TTCATTGAGGCTACTACTACTACTACTACTACTACTACTACTACTACTCCTACTCACTACTCCTACTCCTACTCCTACTCCTACTCCTACTCCTACTCCTACTCCTACTCCTACTCCTACTCCTACTCCTAAACCTACTCCTACTCCTACTCCTACTCCTACTCCTACTCCTACTCCTACTCCTACTCCTACTACTCCTACTACTGCTACTCCTGCTGCTGCTGCTGCTGCTGCTGCTGCTGCTGCTGCTGCTGCTGCTGCTACTCTGTATGGTTGGTGCTGCACCATGAAATTTCCAGAAGGAGACTGCCCACGCTGGTTCCCGGATGGAATACAGACGCATGGCAAAGTCTTGAATTTTCTATGTAGTGATGGGATTTAGGGTTTATGACGAGGGGTCTTTAGGGTTTTAGTCTGAGGCTTGGGGGGGTTTAGGTTCAGTTTCACTTCGTCTTCGTAGAAAGTTGTAGAGTTCTGGGTTTCTTGGATAACATGTTCGGAGCTTAGTACTTGAGGGGAAGAGTCGTGAAGTAGTGGAAATTCCAGTCGTCTGCTCAAGATCGGAGTCAGAGGAGGTTGATCTACGGTCTAAAAAGTTTGATGCACATTTCTTACAGCTCCTCATCGCAATGTTTAGTATACATACGAGCTATACCCACTGACACCCTAGAAAGCCCATAAAATCCTCCACAATCGACATTAACCGGCAACCCTTATGGAGCCCGCGATAGAACCGTTACCCTAGCGCAATCACGAAAGCCTCGTGTTTACGTGTTGCCTCTAAAACGTAGATGCCCCCCAACCCTAGACCTTTAAAGGAGCGTAGTGAAATCAAAACCATGCAAGCAAAATGATCCCCTACACCCACGACCCGTAAGCTTCAACCCTGCTGAACTTTAGACCCTTAAACCTGGTCTTTAGGGATTTCAACAAATGATACTGCTCCCCTTAACACCCTTCTAATCCTTTATGGAGCCCTACCCTAAACGCCGAACACCCCGCAAGCACCCGAGTCTGCCAAGAACTGGTCTATGGGGATGGGCCTGCGACAGGCTGGATCAGCCGCGGCCTGGGATGTCCTGGAGTTTAAAAACGCTAAAACCTTAATCCCCTAAACCCTAAACTGGTGTTAATAAGGTTTAGGGGGCTGAGAGGCGTTTAGGGGGTTGGGGCTGAGGCTGCACATGCCTTTTGCAGGGTTGTTCAGGCATGTATAGGGTTGCTGGAGGGTCTGTAGCGGGCTTGAAAGGATTTCACTCAAGAGCCTGAATTTCGAGCAGGGTTTTCGGGGTGGATCATACTGCACCTTTTAAAAGAGACTATACCCCAAAACCTGAACCCTAAACCACAGCTGCTTCGGAGATATAGGCTTTTGGTATGTGTTGTTTTTCTTTCATCTCAGATGAGGGCTCAGGGTATTCAGGGCTTAGGGAGTTGTTGAAAATTCGGAATTTAAGTCTTTAAGGCTTAGAGTGTAATGACAAATTTGGGAATCCAAAATTCGTTGGAGTATCCCCCTCACAGCCCGCATACAAGCCCTAAACCCTAAACCCTAAAACTGCACCAGAGCCGACCCCAACACACCAAGGCCCCTGAATTACTTCATCTCGCACCCGCCTTGTCTTTCACGCCAATCCCAGAGGTAAGAGAGTTTGGTCTAATATGAATTATGGTAGTTTCCGTGCTATATTCGGGCCCCCTATTTTCGGAAACCCCCATATGTGTTTTTTTTGAGGGCCCTTGTTATCGTAAAGGAGCTTCGCAAAACCCTAAACCCTAAAGCCCTGGTGTAAGGCGGTTCGGGGAGGCATCGGTTAAAGGGCATCTAGGACGTAGGCTTTCAGTCTCGCAAGCAAAGGGAGTCCGGGCTTCAGGTATGCATGGTTTCGGGTTTTGAGTTTGGGTTTAGGGTTTAGGGGTTAGACTTTAGGGTTCAGGGTTTAGGCTGTTGTGTTGTCCTTTGGAAGCTTGAGGTACCCGAATCCACGGCAAAGATCTCGTGGTGCAGCTGTTGCCGCCGCATGCAGTTGGCCAGCAGACAGGTAACCCCAAAGCCATATAATGTAGGGGCCTAAAAAATTACCAACACGATTTTGCAGATTCCTTACTACATTTTTTGTATAGTGGGTCCCAAAACCTTACTCTAATTATTAAGGCCCCTACGTTACACCCGGAGCCCTCGAGCAGCGCTACCTTATCAATCCCATGCCCCAGACAAGAAAAGTTCTTGAGGTTGAAGAGGTGATCATGAGAGAGTGCCCTACTTTCATAGTATCAGGCCATCACGATAATATAGGGGCCTTAATAATTACCTATATACCAGTTTGGGGGTTTTTTATTATAATTATAGTATAATGGGCCCCACAACCCTATTCTAATTATTAAGGCCCCTATATTAGCAGACTTCTCAAAACCTTCGGGGTCTAGATCTCTGAGGTTTGGGGCTCGATTGCATGTTCACGGCTCAGAAATGAAAGACCAAGGCTCCAATTTCATACGCCACAAGTGCCCAAACGCAAAGCTGCGGACCTGTCGGTGTGCAAACGACCGAATCTTGAACTCCAAGCCCTACCTGGACCCAACAAACTACCTTTTGAGGGTTCCTTCTGATGATTTCTTTATATAAGTCCTTAAAAAAGGTAGGTTATAAGGGGTTCAGGTAAGCCCTGGAACCTCCGCCCTCTAGGCTAAGCCCTGTATTCCCGAAACCTTGAACCCTGGTGCCGATTCCTTAAACCATAGGCCGCCAAACTTGTCAAGCCCTGAAACCTAAACCCTGAAACCCTAAACCCTAAACTCTAGACCCAATCCCTTGAAGCCCTGAACCTTAAAACCCTAAACCCTAAACCCTAAACCCTAAACCCCTACGCCCTATCCTTTCAAGCCCTGACCCTGAGACTGGCCGAGGTAAAACAGTTCGACGAACGACCCGGTGCCTCGGACAACAGCAGAAAAGCAAACCTAGCGTTCAGGGTTTAGGAAGTTTAGGGTTCAGGGTTTAGGGTACGATTTAGGGGTTTATGTTTCAGAGTTTAGGGTTTAGGGTTCGGAGTTTACGGTTTAGGGGTTTAGGGTTCAGAGTTTAGGGTTTAGGGGTTTAGGGTTAAGAGTTTAGGGTTTAGGGTTTCGTTGAACCTGAAAGCTGCAGTCATAGAACAACATCGCAACGATACTGTGTAAGGGCCTTAACAGCTAGGATTGGGTTCCTTGAAACAGTCTCTCAAAGAAGGGATCCGTAAGGGCCCTACAAGAAGGGTGTTGGTTTCTGACTCTATCCTAGCTTGACACGTTAGAAGAGGGTTTTGGAGTCATCTGACACTTGTAGTATAGCAGTCAAACCCTAAACCCTAAACCCCTAAACCCTAAACCCTAAACCCCTAAACCGTAAACCCTAAACCCCTAAACCCTAAACCCTAAACCCTAAACCCCTAAACCCTAAACCGTAAACCCTATTAGATTAAGAAACCTTAAGGGGTCATGTTGGCAATTATACAACAACATTGGCACATGTGCGTGGTAACAAACGGTCCATCGAACCTGGGGCTTGAAGGTTTGGATTATATAGGGGGCCTTGATAATTAGAATAGGGTTTAGGGTTTAGGGTTTAGGGTTTAGGGTTTTGGTTTAGGGTTTGGGGTATATTATACTATAGGTATAGTATGGAGCCCCCGAAAACCCTGTTCTTTTTAAGGCCCCTACATTCTGCCGTTGGCTCTGCAGATCTTCGTAGCTTCGTGGTAGCCGTCAGTCCACATATATGATCCCGGTTCGGCC